CTGGAAGAGGGCAACTACGGGCAGTGGCGCTGCTTCTTCAACTCCACGCTCGGCAAGTTCGGCTTAACCGGCCATGTCCGCTCCCTGACTCCCTCTGCGGATCGCGATGGCGAGTGGCGCATGGTGGACTCCTGCGTCGCCAACTGGATCCTCACCACGGTGTTGAAAGGCGTCTTCGACATCATCCGTCGCGACCGCACCGACGCCTTCTCTCTGTGGAGCGCCATCGCGTCACTCTTCCAGGACAACGAACTCCAGCGCGCGGTGTACCTCAAAGCCGAGCTGCGCTCCCTGCAGCAAGGCGACATGTTGATCAACGACTACTGCACCAAGCTAAAGCGGCTTGCCGATCAACTCGCCGACATCGGCCACCCCGTCTCCGAGCCCAGTCAAGTGCTCAACCTCCTTCGTGGGCTCAATCCGAAGTTCCGCTACGTCAAGCCGGTGATCACAGCTAAGTTCCCGCCACACACCTTCATGAGCGCTCGCTCCTTCCTCATGCTTGAGGAGGTCAGCATGCAACATGACGCCGCCGCCGAAGCCACACAGGCTTTGGCCGCGACCCATGGTGACCAACCTGGCAGCGGCAACTCCTCGGCGCCCACCGACACCAAGGACGGCTCCTCTTCCTCCGGCGCGCCTCGCCGCGACACCCGCTCCAACAACGGCGGCAACTACTCCCGCTCCAACAACCGCGATCGCCGTCGCGGTCGAGGCAACAGCAACACCAACGGCAACGGTGGCGGCGGCGGCTCTCGCTCCAACAACTCCAATGCCTCCACAAATCAGTCCGGCCAATGGGCTGCCGGTCACAACCCTTGGCAGGGCATGGTGCAGGCCTGGCCCATGCCCTTCCGAGCCCCCAGCGCTGGCGTTCTGGGACCCTGTCCACCGTTCCAGCCGCATCAGGCGATGACGGCATACCACCAGCAAGCTCTTGCACCCGGCGGCGTCTTCGACACCAGTGCTCTCTATGCGGCACTGCAATCCGCCGGCGTTCCCCATCAACCGACGAGCACATCCGACTGGTACTTCGACACCGGCGCGACGTCGCATATGTCGTCCTCCCCTGGTAACTTTCCCAAAACTGCTCTTCAATCTTCCTCTTCCTCAATCACAGTAGGCAATGGTGCTCGGTTGCCCGTCACACACCGAGCACAAATAGTCATTCCTACTGTCACTTCCCCTCTTCGTTTGAATGATGTACTCGTTTCTCCATCACTCATTAAAAATTTGATATCAGTTCGCCGTCTTACTCGTGATAATAACGTTTCAGTTGAATTTGACCCCTCTGGTTTTTCTATCAAGGCTCTTCCTTCCAGGGCGGAGATGCTCCGATGTGAGAGCCATGGCGATCTCTACCCTCTCCGATCTTCACAACATCGCGCCTTCAGTGCATCATCGGCGGCATCCTTGTGGCATCAGCGACTGGGTCACCCAGGACACCAAACCACTTCTCAGATTTTACAGTCTTTTTCTTTCCAATGTAATAAAGCTGATGCACACTCATGCTCTTCCTGCCATTTAGGTAAGCATACACGTTTACCCTTTACTGAATCTACATCACAGTCATATTTTCCTTTTCAACTTGTTCACTCGGATGTTTGGACGTCTCCTGTTTTTAGCCATTCTGGTTATAAGTACTATGTCGTTTTTCTTGATGACTATACTCATTACCTTTGGACCATCCCTCTTCGAAACAAGTCTGACGTTTTTCACACCATACGAGTTTTCATCGCTTACGTTCATACACAGTTCAACCTCCCCATACTTGCTTTTCAAACTGACAATGGCCGGGAGTATGACTCCACTGCCATGCGTCTCCTTCTCTCCTCACTTGGCATTCAGCTCCGCCTTTCTTGCCCATATACTTCACAGCAAAACAGGAAAGCTGAGAGGATTCTTCGCACTATTAATGATTGTTTGCGTACAATGTTAATCCACAGTGCAGCTCCACTGGCGTTCTGGGCTGAAGCTCTTGCGACGGCCACGTACCTGATCAACTGTCGACCATGCCGTGCCACTGTCTCCACACCGCCGTATGCCATGATGTTCGGTGTGGCGCCCAACTATGACGCACTTCGAGTCTTCGGGTGCCGGTGCTTCCCCAACATCATCGCCACATCCCCGCACAAACTCGTGCCGCGCTCCACGTCGTGCGTGTTCATCGGCTACCCTGCGGACCACCGCGGTTACAGATGCTACAACATCGCCACCGGCCGCGTCATCACGTCCCGGCACGTCGTTTTCGACGAGGACGTCTTCCCCTTCCGCGACGACATCCACCGCGACGCCGACCTGCAGCCTGCTGTGCACTCACCGATGAGTGACATCGCCGACGACGTGCCGCGTACAATGCCACCGGTGCCCCCTACCCCGAGCCTCGCCAACGAGCTGACATCTCACCCCACCCGCGCACGATCTGCGCGTCTGGGGCGTGCACCTGCCATGACCGCCGCCTATGCTCCATCCACGCCACCAGGTTCTGCTGGATCCACAGCCACGGCGCCCACAACGATGCCGCCCTCGTCCAGCACTGTGTCGCCTGCCGCCGCGCCACCAGGCCATTCGATGGTCACTCGAGCAAGGGTTGGGATTTACAAACCCAACCCGAAGTATGCATTGGCGACAACAGAGACCATCTCGCCGATCCCTCGGAGTGTGCGCACTGCCGTCAAAGATCCTCACTGGTATGCTGCGATGAAACATGAATTTAATGCGTTGCAGGCCAACAGAACCTGGACCCTCGTGCCTCGTCCTCCAGGAGCGCAAGTCATCACAGGCAAATGGGTGTTCAAGCACAAAGTGAACCCCGACGGCACCCTTGAGCGCTACAAGGCTTGATGGGTCGTTCGTGGGTTTCATCAACGCCCCGGCATCGACTTTGGGGAGACCTTCTCGCCCGTGATCAAGCCGGCCACCATACGCACCGTCCTCACCCTTGTCGCCACCAACAACTGGTCGGCACATCAGCTCGACGTCTCCAACGCATTCCTCCATGGCCATCTCCAGGAAAGCGTCTACAGCCAACAACCAACTGGCTTCGTCGACCCTGCGCGGCCCGACGACCTCTGCCTGATGTCTCGTTCCCTCTACGGCCTACGGCAAGCTCCGCGGGCGTGGTTCAACCGCTTCGTCGAGCACGTCACCTCCCTGGGCTTTGTACAGTCGAGGGCCGATACGTCCCTCTTCGTGTACAACCGGAACGGTGCCACTACGTACCTCCTCCTCTACGTCGACGACATGATCCTCTCGGCTTCATCGACTGCACTTCTATGACACATCATCGCACGGCTCCACGACGCTTTCGCCGTCAAGGACATCGGTCCGGTACACCACTTCCTCGGCATCGGCGTTCGACGGACACGAACCGGCTTCTTCCTCTCCCAAGCCCAGTATGCTGCGGACCTCCTCGAGCGCGCTGGGATGGCGAATTGCAAGCCCGTCGCTACTCCGGCGGACACGAAGGGCAAGGTCTCTGCGGCCGACGGCAAGCCCCTAGACGACGTGACCTCTTACCGGAGCCTCGTCGGCGCGCTGCAATACCTGACAATCACACGTCCGGATATTGCGTACGCTGTGCAACAAGTGTGTCTCCATATGCATGCGCCGCGAGATGTGCACCAGACCATGCTGAAGCGGATACTACGGTATGTCAAGGGCACTGTCCACCTTGGCGTCCAGCTACGCGCCGTCTCCTCCCCGACGATCACCGCCTATTCAGACGCCGACTGGGCCGGCTGTCCGAACACAAGACGCTCTACATCGGGTTTCTGCGTCTTCCTCGGTTCCTCTCTCATCTCGTGGTCGTCCAAACGGCAAACCACGGTTTCGAGATCGAGCGCCGAGGCGGAGTACCGCACCATTGCCAACGCCGTTTCCGAGTGCTCTTGGCTCCGGCAACTCCTCGGCGAGCTACCGTACAAGGTTCCATCGGCGACGGTTGCATTCTGCGACAACATATCCTCGGTATACATGTCTCAGAATCCAGTTCATCACCGGCGAACCAAACACATCGAGCTCGACATACATTTTGTCCGGGAGAAGGTTGCCATTGGCGAGCTCCGCGTCACTCATGTTCCCAGTGCACGGCAGCTAGCCGACGTCTTCACCAAGGGACTACCTTCGGCGCTCTTCCTCGACTTCAGAGACAGTCTCTTCATCACGAACGGCGACGTCGAGACCGAGGGGGGTGTCAGCGGATCAGTTCAACCAACAGCTAGAGTTCACCGAGTCTTCAGCGACACCAACGTCCCGCGCTTATCGCGTCCACGCCGCGCACTCGCCGCGCACTAGCGCGATTCGCCCGCGCGCCCGGTCTTCACGGCGCCCACGCTCCCGCGTAGTGCGTGCATCCGCTCGCCTGTATAGCAGTGGCCGAAGGCCACCGATTGTAACCTATATGACACCACTGTCGATCAATACAATTCATCCAGTTGGTCACTTCCTCTCTACAATACCCTTGCAGTGCCAAACACTGAAAGTATTGTTTCCAGCAAGTGCGAAAAAGATGGCTCCAGGGAAATATATTTAAGATCACACTGCTTTTTTTCCCGCAGGCCGCAGCATTGCATGTTCTGGACGCATGGCCTTGTTTCCTGGCAGCTTGAGCTGATAGCCGCACTTGAATTGCATCCTTCTGTTTTCCCTGCCCTATAAATCCATCAGCTTAGCACCAACACTTCCATCGGCCCACGAGTAAGATAAGCACAACACCTAATAGCTGAACATCATCACCTGGTAGAAGCTGAGCTTCTCTGAACTTTCCAACAAGAAAGGCAGAGACTGAATCATCCATGATCAGTGCCAAGAGACTTGCTCAAATGGCAAGAAAGTGGCAAAGATTGGCTGCCCTTGTAAGGAAGAGCCTCATGCCAACCCCGGCGAAAGAGACTGAGGAGTCATCGTGATGCACGTCGTCGGTGGCTGGCAAGGGCCACTGCGTCGTGTACTCTGCTGACAGCAGGCGGTTTGAGGTCCCTCTGGTGTACCTTGGCACGATGGTTTTCAGCGAACTCCTGGACATGTCGCAGGCGGAGTTCGGCTTCTCAGGTATTGGCGGCAAGATCACGCTGCCCTGTGATGCCGCGGCAATGGAGTACGTTATGTGTTTGCTTAGGAGAGAGGCCTCTGAAGAAGTTGAAAGGGCATTCCTGAGCTCCATGGCGAGGCCTTGCCACTATGGGAATGGCTTGACGCAGCCCATGGGATTTGTTGTTCCTAGCTTCTGAAGATTAGCACTGAACTGCTAGAGCTTGTCATGGTGCTTTGTCCTCCCTGTTTCCATTTCTTTCAAGATGTAAATATGTAAATAGTTGATTTTGGGAGATTGGCAATGGAGCTAGGATGATTGCTAACCAAGAAATGGAACATCAAGTTTTCTCGGACTCTGGTCTAATCAACTAGGTAGTTCTACTCTGTTTTTTAGGTCTTAGATTTACGTAATTCTGGCATTGTACGAAAAAACCATGACAGTAATGCGGCCACTGTTTGTCTACACGACGGTTTAGCCTGTTTACACGCCGTGTAAATGCTACGGGGTATATAATAGCTTGCCGTGTTCGTTTAATTAGTCATTTATCTTCGTTTAATCACCTTTTAGTCCGTTTAAGTGGTGGTTTAGCCTGAATAAATAGCTAAGCTATAGATGACCGTTTAGTCCGTTTAAACATTTAGGCTAACACTTAATGCGGCTAAACCAAAATTGTAAGTGCTTGTCGGTGAACCAAACACGAACTACCAAGATTATCAGCTTGTTGCCTAGTTGTAATTCTGTAGGTCCATGTAACAAGGAGCGACGAAATGGAGCTCACATGAGATACTAGTGCAATTGAACAAGTGATATGAAGTTGTCCAGCAAGTTATTTAGGCCGCTGAACACCTTCCAGTGCGGTTGTTCAGATACAAGATGGTATGGGACGGATGGGAGTGGACAACTGTCACGCTATATGTCTCAATCTGAGGACCCAATTCATATGTCCATTGATATCTCAGTGAAGGAACGTTGGTTCCAATTTTCATGTGGTCATCACAAGGCGTGCTTCTTAGACTCGACTGGCCACTATGGCAGCGCATCGTGATATCCAACGACTGAACTATCCAAGCACGTGCCAACACAGATGGCCCAGAGAAATCCGATCAAAATCACACTCGCTTTCTCTTGCAAGTTGCAACGCTGCATGTTCAGAGCTCGTGGCCTTGTCCCTTGCCAGCTGGAGTGGATAACTGCATTTGAACGGCATGCTTCTCTTTCCCCTCCTCACCTATAAATCCATCAGCTTAGCACCAACACTTGATCAGTCCATCAGCAAGCGAAGCACTACACCAAACTCACCAAGTAGCTGAATACCACCTGTTAGCCAAGCAAGAGACGGAAACATGGTCAGCGCCAAGAGACTTGTTCAAATGGCCAAGAAGTGGCAAAGGATGGCTGCCATGGCTAGGAGGCGGATCGCACTGATGCCGGCGAAAGGAACCACCGAGGGATCATCATGCAGCACTTCGCCGGTGGCCGGAAAGGACCACTGTGTGGTGTACTCGGCAGACGGCAGGCGATTCGAAGTCCCGCTGGCGTACCTCGGCACCGCCATCTTCGGCGTGCTCCTGAGCATGTCGCAAGAGGAGTTCGGGTTCGCCGGTGACGACAGCAGGATCATGGTGCCCTGTGATGCCGCCGTCATGGAGTACGTGATGTGTTTGCTTAGAAGAGATGCATCGGAAGAGGTGGTGAGGGCGTTCCTAAGCTCCATGGTGAAGCCTTGCCACTGTGGAAATGGCTTGGCGCAATCCATGGGAGTTAGCCAGCAAGCTGTGTTCTAGCTTCTGAGGATTAGCAGTTTAGCACTTAGATTGTTTTATCATTCTTGAATGATACATGTAAATAGTTACATTGAGAGAGACCGGAAATGAAACTTAATATGGAGTATATTTGTTGGCTTCCTCCTACAGTTACGATATCTCGCTCAGCTAGAAAACAATTTTACATTCGAAATCTCGAAGGGCTTGTTCGGTTCTTTTCCCTAACCAGCTCGTATCTAGGATTCTAGCCCCACCCTGGCCAGGCTGAGATGATGCAAATACTCTTTGTTTGATTCCTTGTATTGCTCTAGCCAGGTTGCACCGGGCCATTGATTGGTTGCATGAACTCAAGACCCATTTCAGAGACGACGCATACGCCAAAAGTAGCTAGGCTGCATCACGCTAGCTAGGCTCGCGAGAAACAGATTTCAATCTCATTTCTGTGGAGTCAGGACGATGGACGAATCTTGCATGAGCTCAGCCTGGCCCAAGTCGACATACAAGCATCCAAACAGTCCTTCCCTGCATCCCACCAGCCAGGTTGACCCATATACGATCAACCAAACAGGACTGAAATGTTTCCAAATCACCAAGCCACTTTTATACTTTATTTCTCTCTTGTACATTTGCATTGAGTTTCTTCTTATTCTTCCCCATGTTCTTATTCTTCCTCCACCTCCAAACCAAATGGACCCTCTACTCGTTCGTGGGCGCCATGGCCACCCTAGCACCCCTCCCAGCCTGCCGCAATCACCCCCAGCCAGTCGTAGCCACCCCTAGGTGGGCATAGTCGCGTAGGGTCAGGCCAGCAGCGCTCATAACCCGCTAAACGGTGGCTTCGGCTGGCCAGTGGTGACTAGGGGCGGCCAGAGGTTTCCAGGCTTGGCTAGGACAAGCAGGAAGAGGCACAACAAAAAGAAGAGTGGCAGCAATTGGTTTTGCCACTTTCCTAGGGTGACGGAGGCGGTGATTGACTTCTAGAGGGTGACGGCAATAGATGATGGCAATAGATGGTGGCTTCTTTCTTAGCGCGAGAAGGAAGAAAAATTTAGAGAAGTTGCACCAACGCCAATTTTCTTCCAGGAATATCTTTAGCATGTTGCCCAAGCTTTCCCAATTTTCTCGAGTGCCCTTGGCGGCTAGCAGGGGCTGTGCCGTGCTTGACAGCGGCAGTGCGGGCCCCACGGCATGGCCGTCATGTTGGCGTCGTTCCTGGCCATGACTTAGGCACATTTTTTTCATTTTTCCTTTTTACGGAGGGAGTAGGGATCGAATCTTGAGTGTCGCACGTGGGGGTGTGGGGAGGACCGTTGAAGCCTAGGTCTGGAGATTTGATACAAAGAACCTTGACCATAGCATTTTTTTTGAATGAACAGGAGGGGCTTGTGCCCCTACTGAGATTTATTGAAAAAAGAACAGAAACAAAACAAGTTCAGAGCTCAAAGTTCAAAGCTTAAGGCTCTTAAGCAGTTCAGAAAACATGAAAAGAAAAGAAAAAGATAAGCTCAGTTGAAGCCTTGGAGGAATGTTTTTTAGCTATTGATTTTAATGAAATTGATTTTCTAGATATAAATTTGTGGCAGAATCGTTCGAAATAACACATCTTCGGAGGCGCTTGTCTTCCACTAGACACTAAGCACCCCCGAAAGTAAGATATACCAAGCGGTTTCGTTGAGCACACCCCAAGGGAGAACTCGAACAATCCACGTTTTTCATCAAGAATCTAATAATCGCCCTATTCGTTTGGGCTGGTTTGGCTTATAAGCCATGGCTGAAAGTACTGTTGGCTGGTTTGGTGTGAAAGAAAAATACTGTTCGCTGGCTGATAAGCCATGACTTATAAACCAGATATGAGCAAACGAACAGGCTGAATGAGAACGAGTTTACAATACTTAGTCCAATTCATACAACAAGAGTTTTCGAAAAATACATTATTACAATACCAAGTTCAGAGTGCGGAATTTAAACAGCGGAATTGAAATAAACATCTAACGATAAAATACAAGGATCCGTCTGTGCCCACCAGAAGAATCCTCCACACAATAGCCACTTCTCAAGCTGCACCTGCAACAGGGGTAAATAAACCCTGAGTACACAATGTACTCGCAGGACTTACCCGACTAGTGAAAATAATTTCTAGACTCCAAAGGATATGATAAGCTTTATGGTTTTGTGGGTTTTCTTTTTTGCAAAAAGTATTACTAGTAGTGAATCCTTATGTATATGTTTTATTAGCAATCATGATTAGTTTATTAGCTAACCATTCTATGTAAGCATCTGTTCTACTTTCAAGCAAGAGTTGAGTACCACGGTGCTAGACCATTGATCCCCTTTCATCTTTCAGTTCTTATTACGGTGCTAGACCATAGCCAAGTCGTACCGTATCACACGGCGATTCGCGAACCAATGTATCCTAGCTGAGTATCATGAAACACACCCTGCTTGTACCCCTGGCACAAGCAAGACCAACACCACCACTCTCCTGTCAAGAGGTTCATGTCTGTGTCCAAACTTAGAGTCCAAGCCCCCACTCCTGAGTCCTGGACTCAGTGTGGTGCTTAGACCTCCACCATCCCGCCTTCAATCAGTTGATCCGGAAAGAGCTGGAACCCACGACAAGAGTGCAACGAGCCTTCCCGCTCTCATAAGAAAGTATGTGCTCAGGATAATAAGTCTGTGACATGACTACTATCCATAGCAACGGACGGTCCTTAACCGACATGGACAGGAAAAACAGTGTAACCAAGTTATGCCCCTCATTGGCCGCGGGACACAACCTATTACACCCACCAATATTCGTACCATATCTCTACCCGGTCTCAATTTCCTTTCATCATTTTATCATGAGAGTAATAATAATAATCACATATTGTGAGTAACGGCAGGTTACTCACACTACCGATAAACTAAGCATAGCAGCTACTCGACCTATGCTAGTAGGATTCATAGGTAGGTTTATCTATGCATATAGTTTCAATATAAATCCTATAACGTAAATGCACATCATATATATATATATATATATATATATATATATATATATATATATATATATATATATATATATATATATATATATATATATATATATATATATATATACAGTGATTATTCAAAATAAGGGTTATGCACCGGGGCTTGCCTTGGGCAGGCGGATTGTCAGCTATGTCAGTCATTGGTGGCTCCGAGGCTTCCTCCTGTACGAGGACCTCCTCCTCGTACTCCTCGATCACCTCCTCATACTCCTGCTCTCCGGTGGCCACGAACTCCACCAACTCGTTCTCTGCATGCATGCAACGATGATGCAACACTTAGTATTTTAGCAACAGCGGCTCTTAAAATAAGAATACATATACTAATCTACTAAGCTAACTCTAATGACTAAGATTCTAAGCTAACTAGTATTTTCATCAAACAAGGTACAGATTCATCTAACACGTATTAACTTAACAACTAAAATATATTCTTGCTTTTACTAGCGATTTAACATATATTAAAACAAGGAGTATCTAACTACCCTAAAGCTTAGCCTATTCTAAGGCTATAAAAATTACAGCGAGCACATAATAATACCAGAAAACTACCATAAAATTTTTAGAGCACAAGCTATTACCATTTTGCCACAAAAAATCCTACAAATTATTAACCTAATAATATTAAGTATTTCCAATTGATTTAATAGACCTTAGTTTCTTCACAGATATGTATGAAATAATTATACTAACAGATAGATAAAGAATTTAAGAGCCTAACAAAATTAGTTTCACGATTTTGAACACTTATATGAATTGTTGTTAATTATCAAAGTTCAGCTCAGAAATAAAAATGAAAAGTTATTTCTATTTTCTACGAAAAAGATAATCGAATCCGGCCCAACGCGGCCCACGCGCGGATGCGGCCCACGGCGAGGAGCCCGCGTGCGCGCTGACATATTAGCAAAAGTGCCCCTGGACTTTGAACAAAACAACTCGTAGTCCACGTTACTATTCCAAAAGACAGCACCTATGCAAAAAGACATTTGCACTCTCTCCTCTTTACAACGGCATGGTCCCTGGCCTCCCCTACGCGCTTTGGCGCGGCGAACGGTGGCACTAGCGACAACACCGGCCACCCGAGACCCATGCTAACCTAGCTAAGAGGCCGAATCTCACCAAGGGGTCGACGCGAGGCGATGGGCGGCGGTTGCACGAGCCGGGACGCCGTAAAGGACCTCTCCACGACGGCGGGCACCCTGCGGCAATTGCGATGGCGTTCTGGTGAGCCGCAGCAACAACAAGGCAGTAGGGGTAGTGGGTGAGGAACGACAACTCACCAGTGACATAACCGAGGTGCCGGCTCGGCCGGAGATGACCCGAGCGAGGCCGGCCGCGTGAGCGCTACGAGGTGAACGGCGGATCGCAAAGGCGCGGCCGCGTCAGCGGCGAGGAGGTGGCACTAGAGCTGCGACTAGTGCGTGCACGGCGAGAGGGGCTCAAGGCGGAGCTATTGGTGCAGCTAATTCGACGTGGGACTAAGTGGGGAGGACTGGCCATAGCGCGGGCGGTGACGGGTCTTAACGGCGCGGTGGCGGGGCGAAGCTCCAAAGTTGAGGCTCGGCTGAGCCGGAATCAAAGCAGGGTGGGGACGGCTAGAGAGGGGACGTGAGGGCGGAGCGGTGGGCACAGCGAATTAATGGAAGGCGTCCTCTCGCGTCTAGGCGCTCTGGCGCGGTAGCAGAGAGGCGGACAGGGGAGAAGCGAGCGGACGAGAGGTGGTGGGGACTCGGTCAGAGGCTCAGCATGTGCGTGCTTGGCGGGACGCGATTGGCATGACCGGGGCGGCCCACGGCCAAGCGCTAGCCGACGGCCACGCGCTCGCTGCCGACGGTGACACGGCCTTGTGTGTGTAGCATCAAGGCGGGCCAGCGACAGGCGCGCGGCATGGCTATGCGACGGTAGCTGCAGCGGCATCGACGCGGCGTGGGCGCGGAGGCAGCACCACCACCAGCGGCAGCCGCGGTGGCAGGGGCGGTCGGGTGCAGAGCGGACCGGTGGCCTAGCGGTGCGGCCAGAGCGGCCAAGCCGCGGCAAGGCCATGGCGGCCACGGCCAGCCGGTGCGTGGCCACACGCGCGCGCACGGCAAACCGCACGGCGACGCGGGTCGGCCACACGTGGTGACCACGCGCAGGCGCCAGACATCACAAAGTTGTGACGCGCCCGAATTTTAAAGCGCTGATCATAACCGAACCGTTGCTCCTAAACCTAAACCGGCTTCACTACACTCAAGATGGCATATGGAACTACTAAATCGAATTAAAGCACTACTCCACTCCTTAACCCAATCTCTCCAAATAAATTGCTAAACATAGCAGCGTCTAGCTGTCCACGAGCTTAGAAATTTTCTAAGTGTTTGAGCTAATCTTAATTTCATTTTGCATTTCTAAGCTACTGAAAATATTACTTAGCAATATTCTTTTACAATACCAAGTATTTCATTGTCATCTACAAAGTTTATATTTCAAACTTCATTCAAGTGTCACATGCATGTTCTATATTATTTTTGTTCAATAAAAATTAGTTTACATCCCTACTTGTTAACTGTACGAATCGTAGAGCAACTTTCGTTTCACATTTTTGTTGCTCCTTTTAGTTGCAATGCATTATCTACTCACTTCACCACATGCATTAACACACAAGTATGATGCTCATGACATTATTTAGTAGATGATTAATGGTGTAACACCGATGGTGTTACAAAATTCTTTGGTGCACAATGGCTCGACTGTCTCAGCGGGGGATGCAACATGGAGTGTACCCAGCACTGTTCTGATTGTTTCTTTATAGTGAAGAAGTTTACATTGCCGAATGAAAAACATCACACCAGGTGTCGGCGGTGGCTCTATCCCGCCTTGGTAGCCTAAACTTCCAAAGTTGTGCCTCCATCTTGCATGTTGCTAGGAGCGGGTTCAGAGATGCAGTTTCGGACCTGAACACAACTCCGTTTACTTAGCAAGGCATCAGTTGCAGCAAAATAAATTTGCAAAACAGTAGGTTTTGAGCTTATGTTGCCAGACATAAAGTCTTGTGCATTTGCAATTTTGATGTCTCGCATTCTGCAATTTCACCTTTAGGTTGTGGTCCTTCTTCTTCTTTTTTGAACTGGTCAACTCTGACCAGAAAGCATGGCCTTTACATTCCGCCAACAAAACTGATGGCAAAACACTGAATATTGCAGGAAGTTGCCAACTGGAAATGAAAGAGGCCGATGGTGCATTGTGGTTTAGCTGGAGAATGGATCGGAGTGGCAGTAACCTTTCAGGTTTGGATTCAGAAAATTGTGCTGAAGAATTTCATTGGTCCGAAATTAAGCTCTGATGTGCTCATTGAACAAGAACACTGATGCTAACTTGCTAAGTCGCTACCTTCCTTGATCTTTTGCAGGATTAGAAGGATCTGAATAACACATCTCTTTGTCCTAATATTTACAAGCTGAACTACTACTTAAGTACTTATACAGCTGCAACAACTAACATCAAGCTGCCACATACGGCGCCACGTGGTTTGCAGAGTGGCACGATATTGCCATGGTGCTCAGGAACGCCTTCTCCAGCTCCGAAGAGGCGCCCCTCCTCAGCACGCACAAGGCGTACTCCATAACCATGGCATCACAGGGCAGCGTGATCCTGCCGTCGCCGCCCGTGAAGCCGAACTCCTCCTTGGACATCTGCAGGAGCTCGGCGAAGACTGCCATCCCGAGGCACGCCAATGGCACCTCGAACCGTGCCCCGTCAGTCGTGTACACTGTGCAGTGGCCCTTGCTCGCCACGGAAGTGCAGACTTCCTTTGCTGCTGGCGCCGCCCCCTGGGTGAGGCGCTTCCTCCCAAGCGCTGCCACCTTCTGCCACTTTTTGGCCAACTGAGCGATCCTGTTGGTGTTGATCATATTTATTGTTGGTTCTTTCTTTCTTGGCTGGAAACTGGAGAGCTCTTTCTGAGTTGAGATTGTGATGGTGTTCTGAGGCCTCTTGACCTGAATATATAGCTCAATCGAACTAGCTCGAGTGGGATGGTTGGGCAAGGGACAAGGCCATGAGGACGGTGAGTGCGATGTTGCAAGACGTGTCTGCGAGTACGATTTGGATAAGACTCTGATGGGGGCCGAGTGTTTGGTGCGTGCCGGTGCCAGTGCTGAATTCTCGTGGTGTGCTTTCGGTGCTGGAACTGGAAGTGGCACGAGGACCCCATGTTTGTTGGGACTTGGGACCAACGTGGAGCATGAGGGCCAGGTTTGTTCACCTGGCGCGACTGTGCCGTTGGATACATGAGCAGATCAGCTTGGGTTTAAATTTTAAAGTTTAAACAAAACAAGCTTGGGTACAAAAGCTTTCAAATACCTTAGGGCCTGTTTGGATGGATGTTTTGAATGCCATATTAACTAATCATGGTCTAACAAAAATTAATGAGTAAAATGTACCATATGTCCATTAACTTTTGAGGTGGAATTCTCAAACTGCATATTTGGATCCATAAACTTTTTAAGTTGTTCATCGGAGATCCATATTCTTCGTTTATATTTGTATTTTACAGAAACCTCCCTCTATTTTTTTTTTCTTTCACATGTCTACCCCTCTTTGTCTTCTGAGCGTAGCGAGCATGCACGGTGGCTACGGAGTACGGATGCAAACGGCGCGGCTGCGGGTAGCCCGTCACACGTCCGCACGCGCCGCTTGCTTCTACGCGGGCATACACAGCGGCCCATTTCTGCCGCGTTTAGCTTGTGTTGAAGTTGGCGTTCGCATTTGCTGGCTGTTTGGCACTTTGGCATAGGATACGTGCACACCACCATATAAGTTAGCCGGTAGCCGCCTCCTTGAGTTTTGCCGCCTCAACCAATACCACTGTATTCTGCCAGGAAACAATAACACCGTAGCATACAAGGCACGAGGCATTGCGCGCTGGGGGCTGGCCGGCTGGGGCTCGAGGAACGGTAGCAGGTGCGGCTGCTGGTGCAAGATTAGGCGCACGACCACGGACCACGGTATCACCGGTGTTCTAGGTGAGGCAGACAGCCTGTTCGTTTGGCTGTGGCTTGTCGTAAACGATCGTAAATTTCTAGTCGGAACAGTATTTTTCTCTCACACAAACCAGCCAGCAGTACTTCTTCACGAACCAGCAACGAAATGAATCAGCCAACCGAACAGGTTGTCTAGTTACGGCTCCCCCAAAGAACACGCAGAGTCGGATGGTGATACGTCGCCGCTGCCCGTGGCATCTAGTGAGGTGTGCCGTGGAGAGCAAGGAGAGGATGAGGAAGCGGTCAACGCAGGAGCGCGGAGCATGACGCGTAGGGACGCCGAGGAGTGCACTGCGAGCAAGCGGGCATATGGGGCCTGTTTGATATAGGGCGCAGGGGTGTGTTCATATGGGTGAATGTGCGTACGTGTTATAAGCGTCTGTGTTGTACTGTGTAATTCTTAGAAAAAAACGTGTGTGAGCGCATGGCCCTTACTGGACCTGTTCATTGCATTGCATCGATCAAAACGGACCTCAGATGGGCTACAATACAAGAACTTCGAGTGGATTCGGCGGGCTGTACCAGACAGATCAGACCAGCACGTGTCAACCCCCCCTGGTCCAGAGCACACACAAGGGTGTGTTTGATTTCCTGTAGCTAGGGAGACGGGCCCAGGAGATGTTGTGTTTGTTTTCTTCCAGCCAGCCTGGCCCAACACCAACTACCTCCAACTACTAGATGGAGATTTTGTTTGATTTCGACCCGGCTAGCCATAGGCTAAATAACAGAACCAGCAGTATATAGAAAACAACAACAGATTTGAGAATGCAAATATGATCAGACAAAAGGATACAACAACAGCAATGTAATTTTGATCAGATTGGCCTCATGACTAATTATTGTTGTAATGCATTAATTAATCATACCTACCTCGAGATAATTAAAAACCAATGTGACAGAGAGATCAACAGCACAAATGTGAGTTCAGTACATACAACAACAGTCAAAAACATAACCAGCTAAGACATGGGTTCATGAGACATAGAGCAAAAGCATGAAGTCAACTAATGAAACCTAGGTTGTTGTCATCATTGGCCTACACATTGCAATTACATGAGGGACACTTGTTTATCTTCATCCAAAGAGCAAACAGCAGGACAGAAAGAGCCAATATAAGCACATTCTTCCAACAACCACTCTTACCAATAGTTGTAGGAATTCTTCACAGCAGTCATCTAGGAGCAGCTGGGAGGGGAGGGGAGTTGCTGCTTCCAGAGATGCTTTGAAATCTCTAAGTGCATCCTCATAATTTTTGTACTTCAAATACCTTGCATTCTTGAATCCAAGAACCTGTTGACTGCATTCATACCAGGTTCTATAGATTTTAGGTTGCTTCCCATATAAAACCATATAGCAAGGTGCCATTTCGTGAAATCAAAATTGTAATTAGCCTCAGTCCTTTGTGAATCATGAAACAAGGCATGAGTGCGACATTGAAGATCTAGGGATTGATGAAAGAAACAACCCATGATCCTAAATGCCACATCTATGGCTTGGTTCATCTTGTTAAAATGAAACAATTGACATCATAGGCTCAAAAAAGTGGCCTTAGCTCTAGAATTTGGTGCTGCAATTCATAAGTACTCATCACAGGTGGCTGCACATGTAGCAAACAAGTCCAGAAAAGTAGCAACTTTGAGACTATAGATAAGTAGGAACAGAACATCAAGGTTGCCATGGAACCCATCTGGCCATCCATTCTCTACCGTCATCCATTGCAAAGAGAATGGATGGTTCATATGGATTTGATGATAGTCATGAAAACCAGCAAGAACAAGCCATGAAAAAACAATAACAACAGGAAACAGTTGTGCAACCACCTCATTGTTTTTTTTTCCACATTGTGCATCATAGGCCAGATCAGAAACCCACTTTAGGCACCAACTCATGAAAACATAGGTATCAAATCCAAGAAATGATAGAAATATATGAAAGCATGAAGTGAAGATTCAAACAAGGCCATCCCCAAAATCATGAAAGCCATGAAATCCATGGGCACATTCATTCACTGCCATTAGCATGGTATGAGCATGATGTTGCTAAGGAATGGATGTGTCCCACGGGTTCAATGACACCCATGAAAAGTACAATGTAAAACAGTCCTCCCAATGCAACAGGAACATAAAGTGACAAATATAGTAGCAGTAGCAGTAACCAACAGAGGTTACTAATTAATACATCAAGTTTGTCTCCAAATAAAGGTTCAGCCCACAACAAGTAGGCACTTAAGTGAACTACCTAGTTACACTTGCTCATATATAGTTAGCCACTCTTTAATTATGCAAACCCAAAAGGACAGGTGCTGGTCAGCCATCTACCATACACAGGAGCTACACCAAAATGGAACCTAAAAGAGAAGAGAGTGGGTGAGGGAGGTGGAGGAACTATACATCTCAACAGTCAACCCCCTCCTTACCTTGCTATCCTAGATGGACAGAACTACATATAGTAGTTCTTGGCAAGATAGTTCCTCAGCCAAATATATCTATGGTTGATTGCCATGTTCACAAAGCCCCTGCCAAGGGCCTTGTTTTCCAGCAGGTAGGTGTAGGCAACAATGAGAGCTTCAATGGTGAAGCCAGGAATCTCCATCACTGCAAGATAGAGGTCAGGATCCACATGTGCAGACCCAGTCTCTCTAAGTGTAGAGGCTACATTGTTGACAGCATCAGTCATGTTAGTCATCATCAGCATCTCTTCCTCACTGAAATTACCCCTCTTTCTCTTTACTCCCATAGTGGAAGTGAGCAGCTCAGTTGCCTTGCTGCCCTCACCCATCTCAGGGCTACATTTGACATCAGCAGCAGTGGTGAAGCCATGTCCCTCAATCTTAGCAGCAACACTGTCAAACATTGTTCACCCCAAGTGGCTCACTAGAACCTAGGGCAAACCTATCAGTGGCCATGGAAGAATCAAATATGGTCTCCATCTCAGTGTAGAACCTGGTTGCGGTGTTTAGGAATTCAGCATCATTAGGATGGTCCTACAGTCATGTGTGCTTAATTAAATAAACAAAGAAGAAGAGAATAAGTGACTAGAAGAGGAAGAGAGATGAGGGAAAGGCAATTGACTCTGTTTCTACCTTGTAGTGGCCTATGTAGTGATCAGGTTCAAGCATTATGGCATTGACATCATGATCAAATAGCACACCACTAAGGTCCTTCAACTTCACAACCCTAGCCCACTTCTGCCTCCACTTCTTCAAGTGGTTGTACACTTGAGTAGGGCTCACAGCCTCACCATAATAATCTAGTAGAGCCTTTGCCACATAGTTCACATCCTTATCCTTGATGCACTTGTCAGCCCTACTGCCATCAGAAACTATCTGGGCCATCCTCTTAAGGATAAACCCAGAGGTGTTGTTATTCCACCTCATGGGGGGCCTAGCACCACCAGCACCCCCCTTTACAGGCACTACCGTAGGTGCATCAGCCCCCACATCCACCACCTTAGGTGCAGCAACAGCCACTGCTAGCACAATAGCAGTTGCCCTAGCGCCAGCCACAGCAGCCATGTCAGTAGCTACCACAAACCCAGCCATCCTAATAAGGTCACCATACATCACATGAAGACAGGCATCAACAATAGATAGTATATGAAGATGAACAAGACATAGAAGATGAACAACAGATATAAGATTTGTCTCAGTCATGTCCACGAAAACATAATCATCATAAAACAATTCCACATTGGTCTCAGTCACATCCAATAGTTATTACAGATGATGAATACACCACATGAGTTCCATATTCAGGGTCTACAAACTAAAATTATACAAGTATGCAAAGCATGAATCAAACCCTAGCAGTACCCCTACCAGCCACGTGGCTTTGCAAATGCCATCCCTTCTATTAGACATGCCAGTGGAGTCCTAGGATAGCATGTCTCCCACAGGCCAGGTTTCATCACCCTCAGGTGGGCTGCCAAGGAAGCCCTCCTCTTCTGGCACTACTTCATCCATGCCAAACCCAATGATCCAATTATGGAGAATACAATAGGCCAGTACAAGCTTCACTTGAGTCTTGTATGTGTGGAGAGGTTTGTTGTCTAGGATATGATACATGTTCTTGAGTGCACCAAAAGCTCTCTCCAATGTCACCCTAAGGGATGAATGTCTTAGGTTGAACAGTTCCCTGGCATTGGTAGGATAATTGTGGCTCCCAAATTCAGACAAGTGGTACCTCACCCCCTATAGGGAGGGAGAAAACCAGTGCGGCAAGCATAGCCAACATCTACTAGGTAAAACTTTCCTATAAATGGACCAAAAGATATACTACAGTGAAGGTGTGTGACAAGTTAAAGGACAAAAGTGTATGGACTATTAATTTCAGTTACCTTCAGAAACTATGAACCCATCATTCCTGTCAATTGCATCAGCAAGAATGAGTGCATCATGGGCAGAGCGCTCCTAGCCAGCTAGGACATAGGTGAACTTAAGATCAAAGTCCACAACAACCATCACATTTTGTGTGGGGTTGTGTTTCCTACCCCTGAAAGTCTGCTGCATGTGTCTAGGCACCCTTGCCAACACAAGTGTGCCATCAATGCCACCAACACAGTCCTAGAAATGTGTAGGATAGTGGATAAGTGCAAACACAGCAATTGGTTAAACCCAAGGCAGATAAACATGATTAACAAGTACCTGCATATATGGATACCATCTTTGGCTACCCATGATTTTGGATGTGTGGCAGTGGTAGGAGGCTTGATCATTTCATTCCTAAGCTCATCAACAACATAGAGAAATTGGTGGAAGACTATACTAACTGTCACAATGGACCTCTAAAAGACTGGTGAACTACCCTGAATCTCTGGTTATGACCAACAACATGGAGGAACATTGCAATCTACTCCTCAATAGAACACCCACTGGTTTCTCTAACAAGGCCTCTACCTCTAAAAATGTTGCATAGAGCAATAAAAAGGAGCTATGGTCATACGCAACATAGCCAAACTCAGCATCAGTGCTGTTAAATATCATTTGGAGGGTGGATAGCCTATGCTGCTGGCTTAATGACCTAGGAACATAAGAGACAAGCTCTAACTAGGCCCTAATTCTTCTCAGTCTAGTGACCAAAAATGAAAGCATAACCACAACCATGGCAGCTGCTTGCCTGGCCATCATCTCACGTTGTGCAGTTGGATCCATCTACATGCATTCAACATTCAAACATACAACTCAGCTGTAGTAGACCCTGACTGGCCTCAACATGAAAGTTCAATCATTCATATCAAAAGCTAACAGCACGGCTGCATAAAAAGAATGCCTCTAATGCATTGGACAGAATCATCATCGACCATGAAAGAATTAACATTTTAGCATACAGTGAACAGATTCATCATCGACCATATGAAAAGTACCAACAATGCAACAAAATATTTCAGTGCTCGAAATCAACATTCATAGCAACCACACAAGCATCATGTACCCAAACAATCATTCTACAGAGACAAATCGAAATCAAAATAGGGCAACAGGAAACCCTAGAATGAAAGCAAAGGGGATTTAGGGGGATTTCACCTTGGGGGAGTCGACGAAGATAGAAAGAAGAGCAAGACAGAGAAGAAGAAGAGCCACAGTGGAAGCAGAAGCAGATCCGTTAAGGGACGAAGCAGATCGACCCCAACCAAGACCAGCCACACCACCGAAGAAGGAGGAAGACGAAGGAGGAAGATGACCGCATCCATGGAGCCTGGCAGGAGGCGCAGTAGCGCCGCGGCCAAGTGGATCCTGACCGCCTGAACAGAGATGAAGACCGGAGAGGAAGAAGCCTACCGCACCGCACCACCACCACACGAACACCACCGGTCACTCAACGCGAACGTAGTGAGGAAGACGGAGCTGGAGGAGGGAGAAGAAGGCAGCGAGGGAGGAGGGCGGCATATAAAGGCAGCGGATTTCGACGAGGAGGAGCATGGGAGGAAGTTTCATGGTTCCCGCACGAGCCGCCGCCGCCACCCCGAAATCGTCTGCACGAGGACGGAGGAAGCCTGGCTCCAAAGAAACGAACCCTAGGAGCGTTCCCCCAGATGAAGGAGAAAGAGTGTGTTTTGCACGCGCGGAGCTAGGCCGCCAGCTAGGCCAAGCAATCAAACAGACCAGGTTACAGCTGGAGAGCGCCAGCCACCCCCTTGGCCCTATATCAAACAGGCCCATGGTGGCCATCGTTGACGTGTTGAGCGGTTGCAGGGGCTCAAGGACATGGCTATCAGTGTTGAACTCTGACCCACCACCGCGCGCGCTGGTCGCCAGCTGGAATGCGTGTCATCTCGGTGAAGAACAACGCTAAGGTGAAGGGCACCGGGTCATGCCAGAGGAGAGCGTACTCCAAGCTGCCTTGATGCATGCATGGCTCGATCCAGGCATCCGGCTTACTCGCCACTGGCCTGTGTACCACGTCAACATCCGTGTCAAGCGAGGATTTAGAGTTGTGTCCGCATGCTCGCTGTGCTCACCAGCTGATCCCACATGCTCATTGTGCCCGCCAGCCAGCTCTGCGCCCATGCACGCTTCCTCCAGGCCCCTGTCCCGCTTGGTTGAGCCGCACGCCGTCGTGCGCTCATAAGACGAAAAGGAGTAAACGTGTGAAAGAAAAAGAAATGGAGGGAGGTTTATGCAAAATATAAACATAAACGAAGAGGTATGGACCTCCGATGAATCACTTAAAAAGTTTATAAGGACTCAAATATGCAGTTTGAAAGTTGATGGATTTAGATGATACCTCCTCAAAAGTTAGTAGACCTCTGGTGTATTTTACTCAAAATTAATAGAGGCTAATTGGTGAGCAGTACTCATTAGAAAAAAAAATAGTCCATGTTTAGCCTATTATCCAACGATGGACTAAATTTTAGTCAGGCGATCCAAACATGCCCTTATACAAATAATAATTGGTGTCTCATTGTGCAATCATAAAAAAAAACTGATATCGACAAATTGGACCCAATTTACATGTGGTCCTCATGGTCACATTTTATGTAATTTGTCCCTTTTTTGAAAAATATTCATATTTACATCCCTGGGCGACGTAAACCTAACTTTGGACCCTGAAGTCGGCGTCATGACCTATGGCACCGAGGTAACACGGCTCGGCGCCGTTAGTCATGGCGCCGACCTTCGAGGGCGTTGACAGCGTGTGTGCCTGCGTGACAGTGATGTGGTAGAGCTTGGATCAAATCAAAGTTTCCAAGGTCTAATTTGTCGATTAAGAGATTGGGCAGGTTGGGGAGAGGAAGAAACCGAGAGAGGAGCAACAAATGGAAGAAGGCTCGGCCAGGGAAATTTGGGCGTGGCTTTTGAATCCAAGCTCGGCGCTAAGATCCGTGGCACCGTGGTACCAGCCATGTCAGCGCCACCTCGGCTGCCATGCGAACCATGGCCAGACACCTCGGTGCCATGACCTACGGCGCCGAGACGTGTTATCTCGGCGCCGTAGGTCATGGCGCCGACCCACTGCGTCCAAAGTCGGGTTTATGTCGTCTAGGGGTGTAAACGTGAATATTTTACAAAAAAAGGGCCAAATTGAAAAAAAAATGCTGTCCTCATGGCCCATGAGGCATAGCAGTATGGCATTGGCATCACACAATTCTACAATTGGCTCCAGCAAGTGCCAAACATATGGCCCTAGAGAAATCTAATCAAAACCCCACATTGCTTCTCTTTGCAACACTGCATGTTCCGAGAATCCGAGTTCATGGCCTTTCCTCTTGCTTGTCTGAGATGGTAACTGCACTTGATCTGCATCCTCTTCTCTTTGCCCTGACCTATAAATCCATCAGCAAAGCACCGAGCCATCAACACTTCATCAGCCCATCAGCAAGCTAAGCACAACACCTAGTAGCTGAACACCACCTTATACAAACTGAATCTCTGAACATTCAGCCAAAAAGGCAGGGGAAGCAGCCGTGATCAGTGCCAAGCCCAAGAGACTTGTTCAGATGGCAAAGAAGTGGCAGAGAATGGCTGCCCTCCCAAGGAAGCGGCTCACGACGACTCCGCGGAAAGAAGCCGACGGTTCATGCGTCGCATCGACGTCGGTGGGCGTCAAGGGCCACTGCGTCGTGTACTCCTCCGACGGGAGGCGGTTCGAGGTCCCGCTGGCCTACCTCGGCACAGCAGTGTTCAGCGAGCTCCTGAGAATGTCGCAGGAGGAGTTCGGGTTTGCTGGCGACAATGGCAGGATCACGTTGCTCTGTGACGCCGCAGTGATGAAGTACGTAATGTGTTTGCTTAGGGGAGACGCCTCTGAAGAGCTTGTGAAGGCGTTCTTGAGCTCCATCTCCATGGTCAGACCTTGCCACCACAGCGTCAGTGGCATGGTGCCACTGATGGGACTCGTGGGCCAATCAGCTATCTGTGGTGTATAGCTATATGATTAGCTCATGATGTACATTATTAGATTCATTTAGCCGGATGTAATATTCTGGAATCACAGAAAATCGTACAAAAGGTTCTTTGGTAAAAAGAACTAGAAAGAAGAGGAAGCCATGGCCTGAAAGTTTGCAGACGCGCGAGATGCGGTTGAAGGAAGCAACAGCGGCGGCGTAACAAAGCAAATTCGCCGGCGGCGACTATCTTTGTATTGCCGAAAATGACCTTTGGCACCTCAAAAATTTGGATCGCCCACCGTCCAATCCCGCGCGATTGGATTCTTG